TTGCACTTCAACTTGTTAATGAGTGTGGTACGTGTCATACTTAGAATCGCGATTGCAGCGATCAGTTAGCGTGGAAAAGTACGGTCGCGGTTGTAATTCGCCGTCGCGACTGTGCAGCCGTGACAGCAAACGTAGTCCTGCGATGGTCGACGGACTACTTGAACTCAGCCCTTTAAACCTCCTCTGCGATCTCTCGCAGGTCCCTCTGCTTTCCAAGGCTTCAGTCCAAGGGTATTCACCCGTTCTCTAACTCGTCACCTGCGATCGCATGATCGACAAGAATCTACAATCGAATCCACACTTGAACTGCAAAGGAGATGCAAGGCAATCGCAAACTATAGTCGCACCCTAATATGGTGATGATTTTAATTGTAGTGACAGTCCACCTGACCGCCACTCGGTCATCAATGACACCGGTATTCTTGGCAAAATATTGTTTAATGCTCTTCCAAGGGTGCGGTCATACTTGCGATTTTTCTATCCGATGCAGTCCAATAGTGGAGTAAATAGGTATCGACCGGTAATCGGACGGTCGCACATTTCCATACTCGAATTGCACACGAAGTGCAAAGTCAGTGCAGTTTTTATTAGCAAAGTATCACCAAAGCCTAAAATGTACCTTAACGTTAGTTCCAGGAGTAGGCTTCGCTGTTCCGGTTCCTTCTTTCTTGATTGTTTTCAGAACACCACCATCCTACAAAAGAGAAACTCACTACTCAAATTCACTTGAGTATTCACGGTAAAGAACAATTCGGAAAACGCATGTAATGATTCTCTGAAATGAAAATAACTCACCTTTTTCAGGGTAATATCAATGGGTTCAACAGGCAGCCATAGCAGAACAATCAAATGAGAAACCAGCATTCATTCAATTTTCAATTTATTACATGTTCTTCACATGTGTTAAACAAACAATGAAAAAGGAGAATACAAAACAAAACTTGAAAAATTAAGACATAACAGCAATAAAACGGAACAGAAGAAGGAGGTAATATGTTATAAGCAACAAAACTTATTTGCCCTGATTCAGATAGAGAGATACCGCTTTTTTGAATTGACAGAAAGAAGCTGGAACGGGGAGGCCCTTACTCATTTTCAGAAAGCGAACAATCTTTTTTTTTCAAATGAAAACGCGCTCAATAAATCGTATTTGCCGACAAATAACAATTCAGAAGTCTTATGCAGAAATACTCATCAAAGCCGAAGGAGAGAAAGAATGGCAACTGCTGTCCTCTCAAAAAGGAAGTGAAGAACTAATCCTTGACTTCGATGTAAGGGTATAAACCGATTTGACTGAAGACGTCGATTTCCTAATCTTCTACTCCCCAGATCAATATATCTAATCTTTTCAACGGGATCTACTAATCTTCCAGGCTCCCAGTCTAATCTCCTTAACAGCATGTGCCTAATCTTCTGAGCAAAATCTCCTGAGCTCCCGGTTTTCTATTCTCCCAATCCAACATACCTTATTCACTATCCAATGACCCACTAATCTCCCAAATGGTGGAAATATGAGTGCGACCTTCTGGCTGGGTCATACTTTTCGACCGCGCGATTGCAAACGCTGAGATGCCCGTCAGACTCGGCGATTGCGCAATGCGCCCGTCAAGGCATCTGATGAAGCGTTGGAAAGGCGGCGCGGTTCTGGCCTTGTGCCATCTTTATTGGCTCCTTCGCCGTCACCTTTCTTCATTTTTTTGCAAAAAAGTTAGGAGCAATCAGTTAAACAGCGGTAGCAGATTTTCAGAAGCGAAGTAGAATGTCGTATTTGTACTCGAAACCAGGCCCTCTTCTGACATCAGATTTGGCAGTATTTCCTATGCATCAACGAAGAGAAGCGCAATAAAAAGGCCCTAACAGATACAATTCTAACTAGCGTTACAAAATGAGGAGCAGCGAACAAATCAGGAGTGAACCAAAAACGATGAATGAGCAAACGTAAATGATGACAACAACCGAGTGACCTAATAACAACCGCGACGCGAACCACACGCGTGCAGCGTTCGCCATCCGGCGGTCGTGCGATCGCGCGACCGCAAGATCCAAGCGATCGATGCGTATCTATTCAACACTCGAACTGAAGCCGAACTGAAAGTATGACCCGACCCTAAGGTGGGTGCAGTGAGGAGCACTTTGGAATTGATGAACTACTGCAGTGGAACTTCTCTGCTTCATCGCACTAGATGGCTCCCCCCATCTTTCTTCTACGATTTGGGTGCGGCAGAACCTGTATTCTACTTGAATTGCGATACGTAATGTAACGTCGAATACTCAGGTAAGCTGATTGTGCATACTCGGCCGGGTTTGCCGCGGCCGTGCCCCAAATCGTGAAGAAAGTGGGGGAGCCGCACTAGATGTTGTATCAATGAATAATGGGCTGGATAACCTTGAAGGTCACATTCTCTGAATATTTACTCAAATTTTCATGAATTTTCGAGATAATATTGACTATTTATCGAGAAGTTCCTAGCAGTGGGGCGTGATACTGACGTAATTTTCAAATCGAACATTGAACTACTTCTTAACGGCTATTCACAACTATTAAATTTCGGCACTATTCAACTATTACGACCCCAAAAACTCAAAATTTTATTTTTCGTCGAAACTTCGCCTATAGGGGTAATTCGGTGCCCTGATCACGAAAATGAGGTTCATTTTTGGCGCTGGCGCCATTTGCGCCAATTTGGCGCCAAGGGTGTTTTCACCAAATTCGCTGTAAACTTGCACATAGGGGTTATTTGAGTCTTTCTGGATTCCAACATCGATATACTTTTAAGTTTTTTGGCGCTGGCGCCAATTGCGCCGTTTGGCGCCAATTGGCGCCAAGGGTGTTTTCACCAAATTCGCTGTAAACTTGTGAATAGGGGTTATCGAGGCTCCTGATCACGAATATGACCTTAGTTTTGGCTCAATTTCTCTAGGTGACGCTCGAAATAGATGTCATCTAGGCGCTCATCCAGTAAGGGGGGCATCAAGTGGCTGCCCTCACCCCCCACCCCCTAGACTGCCTACACTCCCCCTGGCACACAGGTTTCTCGCAGTACGGGACCCCGTGAGCCAGGGGGAGTGAAGCAGTTCATAGGCGGTTGTGGTGGGCGCGCGTCCGGCGCCCTGCCGTGGTCATTGTTCGTCCCTTCTTTTTTTCTTTGTGTTGGTTTTGTTTTTTGGTGGTTGTGTTGTTTTTTGTTTGCCGTTTTCTGCCCGCGCCCCGCCCGCGCATCTTCTCGCTTCTTTTTCTGGACGGCATGCCATTTTTGCATCCCTACCTCCTTCTTACTGCTATGAGCTCAGCCTTCTTAATGACATCTATTTCGAGCCTCACCTAGAGAAATTGAGCCAAAACTAAGGTCATATTCGTGATCAGGAGCCTCGATAACCCCTATTCACAAGTTTACAGCGAATTTGGTGAAAACACCCTTGGCGCCAAATTGGCGCCAATTGGCGCCAAATGGCGCCAGCGCCAAAAATGAACTTTATTTTTCGTTCATCAGGACACCGAATTACCCCATATAGGCGAAGTTTCGACGAAAAATAAATATTGAGGTTTTCTGGGTTGCGCAATTAGTTTGAATTTTTAGTGCAATAGTGCTTCTCGGTTAAGATGTACCGCTTAGTGTGTGGCGTCCTATCCACCAATTGGAACTTTGAAACCTTTCCACGCTTTTGATCTTATGTTTTTGACTTCTTCAGTGCTCTCACTAAATGCAATATCCTATCGAAAAAGTCAGCACTATCGGTAGACTTTAAGAATGAGAGACAAAAAGACCACATCCAAAATTGTTACAAATATTACGTCTCACGAAACTCACACGAGCAGCTTGAGAATTCCTATTCCCCATATAAACAATGACTTTCACCATGTCTACCTCACGAAAAATGACTCAACCAATAGATTCATAAGAAAACATGAAATTTTCGCTACAAACTAAGAGAAGCACGCCAGCTGTACATGACTGGCCATATCCGTCGCCGTCGAATATTCTGGAAATTCTGCGTCGACGCGTTGTCTCGCAAATATGGTCTGTAATTACACACCAAACCACTGGCACGTCATACTTTTTGGTTCGCAGGCGTTGTGGTAATGTGAGCGACCAACTCTGTTCTCTTTTTCTATTAGCGAGTTTTTTTTAAGTAGGAATGAGGCAGTGTAATAAATAAGTAGTTGGAGGACTTGGGAACTACAGAACAACTTTAGATCCGTGGCGAAATTAGTATTTTGGTAGGTAGAAGCAATCTATGTTAAATCATAGCTTCACGATAATTGTCAATTGCCAATTGGTTGTTTGTTTTGTACGTCAGTACCTGGTTTTCATCCAATATAAGAAAGCACACTTTGCTTCTATGAAGATAAGAATTTTTATGTGATACACTTGTGGTTTAGAATGGCCGATGAGCATTACATGAGCGAAAACGGAGTTGGAAACAACCCATCTTATCATGACTACCATATTCAACAGCAACAGCAACAACAGTTTCAACAGCAGCAGCAACAGCAACAACAACAACAAACTGACGGTGGCGTCCTGTGCTACAAAATGAACCGTCGGTCTCCATTGTGAGGTGTGAGGGAAAATTTTGATGATTTTAATGTTGTTTTTTTTTTCAATTTACTGTGCTTACCACATTTCTGAGCATACTTTCATCGAGTGGTGGAGCCCAAGTATTATTCCTGTGAAATATGTACAGTTTTTTATTGAAGAGGTCATTTCAGTTTCTGTGCACGTATGCACAAAACAACTACCTTAGTCTTTTTCTGCATGGAGTCTTTCTTTCTTTTTCTTTATTTCCTCTTTGAGCCGTTTTCTGAATTGGGGGGTTAATGGAACGAGTTTTCCTCAGAAAAAAAAAAACAATTGCTGCAGAGAATTTGCTCTAGTAATTTTTTCCCAGCGATGCAATTCTTCTTCATGTGTTACTGGAGCGAATAGCTAGAGATCTGTCCGATCATATGGCGAAGGAAAATGCAAATCCATCCTAGAGGACTATTAAGTCGCGCTTCTCCACTACTTGCAAGGTACCATACTGTTCTGTCGCAGAGATCGTTTCCTTCAATCTTGAACAGTATAAATAAAGTGGAGTGCTTAGGCTGGTCGTCAGAAGTCGCCTTCCCTTGCAGGTTTCGCTGATTTTCGCGATTTGCGCGATTCACGCGATTTTCCCGATTTGCGTGAAACCTGCCAAAATCGCAAATGTCCCATTTGAACATTTGAAACACTGAATATGAAACAAGTGGAATCATGAGCAGTTGTCATTCAGCCATCACTATCAAGCAGAATTGGCGGCAGGATTGGAGAACACCTTGTAGTATTGATCGGGCACTTGTGATTTCCGTGACCCGTCGCGTGAATCGCGTGAATAACGAAAATCGCGAAAATCAGCGAAGCCTGCGACGGATCGCGGACTCTGACACCAGCCTTGGTCAGACCCGTAGACGTTAAGGAAACTAGATTACGAAATTCACTGGGATAATATTTCGGCTATTTTGATTTCGACAGAACCTCAGCAAGTCAAAAACAAGTGTAGGCTGCCCTCTCAAACGCCTGTGAGCAGTCTGCGACCATCAATAGGAACGCCTTTTACATTTTTTGAGTTCAGATCCGGTCTTTACAGAGATGATATCCAACGACCTTTGTCGACAATGCAACAAAATCTGCTGCAAGGAATAACACAGGTAATAAATGCCTTTTGTAATCTTTGTTAATTTGTTTACTTGAGCAGGCAGACGTAGAAACTACAACCACAATTGCATACAATCAAACAATCCGCATTATCACTAACTTTAGTTTACCATTAGCTATTTGCTATAGCAAGCTTGCTCCCACGCCTAGTTGAGACCATTCCCAGCTCAAACAACTCCTGTTGTTGAAAGGTTTAATGAGATCTCTTGTTTTTCTTCTAAAGCGTGTTTCATTTTGAGATTTCGGAGTTGTATCTCTCGATTTTGTGTGATATCATGTGCGCATTATAATAGTTGCGACTCTAGACTTCCCCAATTAGAAAGACCGTAATATGGTATCTAAGATGGTTTTTCGTTCAGGACCCACCGAACATTAACATGCGCGATTTCATCAATGAATTGGAAGACTATGTGCCTACAATCCCTGACTCGGTCACCCTACATTTTATGCGATCCTGTGGTTGTGATTGTTCTGATCCTCGAATCGTAAGGTAAGTGATCTCAAATGTTATTTCTTTGCAATGGAGGCATTTGAGATTCCGGTTTTAGGTTGATAGCGTTGGCGACTCAAAAGTACGTCTCCGACATAATTCTTGACGCTATGCAACAGGTAAGTCGAATACAATCCGAGCGCTGCTTTTGAATTGCGCAGATTTCAAGCTCTCTCGCCCGTTTCTGTCATAGGCTTCATTGTACTGGTATTCAAGGCGGGGAAAAGGGGAGTACTGCGGGCTAAACGGCTATAGATAACTTTGTTTACTTGATCCATTGGCTGAGTTAATCCATTTCCGATTCTCAGAAAGTCACTGTTTCTTCTCATTGTACTGGCCAAATTTGTAGGTTACGAATTTTGAATTGTTTGCGAGCTTGATTAATCGAAGTTGTTGATGCAGCCAGATTAAACAATCTCATAGGGTCTGTCCGTATTATCACCACCTCTCACTCGCACCCCAAATGCTGTCAGTGTCACGCGAGCCACAATATGCGCTTTTGTAAGAGATTTTTGTGAGGCATGAGTCCTAATTTCATGACGCGTCTTACCAAATGCTTCAGTTAGTTTTTTCTACTTGTGCAAAAGAGAATTTTTCCAGGCACGAATGAAAGGGCTTGGACAAACGAAGAAAGGTACTAAAGAAACCAGGTACTGTCTGACAAACGATGTTCTTGAACCAGTTTTGAAAGAGTATGGAATAGATTTCATTTTGCCCCCATACATGCATTAGGAGTAGCCGGTGTTAGAATGCATTGTTAATAGAAGTATTCACTCTTTCATGGTGTCCTATTTTTCTTATGCTTTGGTGTTTTCGGTTTTGTATAGTCACCTTTTGTTTTTGTATGGACCGATGTGGCATCTTTGTCTGGAAAAACTGTATGTATTCCTCATCTTCATCTTTCTTGTACAGTTATTGCGTAATAAATTTTTTATAACTTCGGTCCTGTTTGGATTAATACCACGGCTGGTCCACATATTTATGTCTCATTCACAGGTCATTAGTTTTTATTCCATTTACTCTATTGCACTGGTTGCAGAGTCTCGTCAGATAGAATTCTATGCAAGTTGACGAAGTCTTAGAGTTTCTCGGCTTCAAGTATGTTTCCATTGCGATTGATGGTTCGTCGAATGTCTTATCTTGCGTCTAGATTCACCGGGTCGAGGAGATGTCCATGTGGTAGACCCTACGGTTGACCTTAGGTAGGATCTCGAAGCCTGTTCACCATTTTCCGTCACATAGTCTTTGATTCAAGAACTCTACTAATTTAGATACGTTTTTGAAGACATGGAAAATTTGCGACGTGCTTTAGAAGAACGCCGTAGTGATGTTAGCATCTCGGAGGTGAAGGAAAAATACGATGCATGGTGGACAAAATATCAGAATTGGAAGGAAGCCAATGGATTATCAAAGGTCTGAGTTTACTGGGTTCACTGAACAAAAAGAATCGTTTGCGTTTATTTGGAATTCTGCCTTCGGTCACGTCCTAACTTAACTGTTCTTTTCGAACTGGCAAAATCATAAGCCTTCGATAATATTAGTCCTGTTTGGCTCTGCGCTACGCATACTTCCATTCAAATTCGAAGGTTCAGTTAAGTACCACTTCCCCCATGCAATGACTTGCGGGGAACAGCGGTGTATTTATTTACAAGTCAGGTCTTTTGGTCGAGGACACTCTGGTACCAGCTTCAGTTCGGCATATGCGAAAGACTCCGCTAACCTGCGCAAGGCTCAAGAAATTATCAAACTGGACTCTGCATGGGCTAAGCGGCACCAGTTCAAACCGAAGTTAGAACCTGAACTTTTGAACCTTCCAGTAGAAACAGTGAAATATGTTGTAGCCACCTCAGGAAGTTCTGAAATTGTTATCATCCTTCTGCAGAACTGCTTTGTCGTACTGCTACTTTTCTGAATAGGCTACTAACGCCAAAACTTTCATCTTTTTCTATCTACCTAAATGAGTAGACATTCAACCCATATCCTACTGTCCATATCTGGGTGTGGTTCATTAGGACAGAAAGCGACTTTTCGCGTTTCGCAGCGCGAAACATTTTCGCTGCGGGAACCTCAGGTCCACTGATGATCAGCGGTGGACCTGAGGTTCCCGCAGCGAAAAATGTTTCGCGCTGCGAAACGCGAAAAAGTCGCTTTCTGTCCTAGTGAACCACACCCTCCATATCTCGCCGTCTGAGTAGCTGTGTCATTGGGAACAAAGTGGCGGTTGCCGCATTTGATAGAATTCTTGCGGATGACTCCCGACATACTTCGCTATAAGTCAGCAAAACATGCTGGAATCAGCTTATCACCCGACTTCTACCAAGTGCGGCGTTCGCCACATCATTTCCAGTTACGCGCCTACTATGACGGTGAGATATGGGCTGTATATCATGTTCAGAGGTAGAATTTCATTCTCTCGGCGTAAGTTATCCCATAAGGCCATGCTCAAATGCTTACAGAAGCACCTCCATGCGATAGGGCGTACGCGCACGTGCGTACGCGATATACACCTTTTCCCACAGCTAAACGAGACTCTCGCTAAGTTTGCACAAATGGAGGTTGCAAATGTGGATCGTAATGTGACAGCAGATTGTTTAGGAAGCAGTAATAACCGCGAAGAAAGCAATGAGAGATGAGCAAGCAGGTCTGCTGGCTGCGTTAGCTCTTCCCAATTTTGTGCACAAAGTGGGGAAAACTGAGAAGCAAATGCTCAAGAAGTCACGTACGTTTACTTCTCTACACTTTTCTGACATCTATAGAGATTTCTATGTTCAAAGCTCGACATCCATTTTTGAGCTAGTTTTTACTGGATGGGAGCGTTTTTGACTTAATTTTGCTTAGTGGCCTTCTTATAGATCATCAACAATACCTCACTCAGAAAGGTCATATGCGTGTTGATAATGAAGTTGGTGTTGTTCATCTTGAAGGTTATCCTGTATTGCTACAAAATAATTTGAAGTAAGTTCCAAATGTCGTTCTTGAGCTGCATTTTTCAAGTCTTTCATAAAACTTCTAGAACGCAGTTTCTTGACATGTTCTCGAATGCTATTTTGGTCTCACCATCCTGTTTTGCTCGAGTGCTCGAGCTGCTGTCCTGGAGGGTGTAAACGCTCCACTTCAGGACTTTCTCAGTTTCACAGACGGTTCAGAGAACTTTCCTCACACGTTTTTAGGTGAGTTTCGTCATCGTCATCATTCATTTATTATAACGGTGTGTTTTCCTCCCCACCCCACGCTGCAAAAACGTGAGGCGGTCGATTTAATCGTGAACCAATGAGCTTGCGCCGCACACGCTGCGAGTCGTGTCGCTCGTGGCGTACTTTACGGAGGGTTCGAATGGACGTTATCTTATTCTGTCGTACCCATAAATTACAATTAGGGTCAAATACCTGATGAGCTAAAGTGTTAGACAACTTGCAGATCAAAAAACGTAACCTCCGAGGGATTTAAACCTCACCTGCAAAACTTGCGGTAAAGCAAGGTTATGTTGTTGAGTTCAGTTTAAATTCTTTATCATTCGGCGATCAGAATTCCCATCAGAGAGGAATATTTCTTTTAATCGATAGAAATGGCCAATGGTCATCGTCGCTATTAAATCGGCACGCGCCCATAGAATAGTGACTGCTGCACAATTAAGCTGTAGCACAGATCAGTCAGGTCGCATGGAAAAGCAATGCTTCAATTGTTCGACTGGATGCGATTTTCGAGTTCCATATTATAACTCCACGGTCTTTGTTAGAGGCTAGAGAAGGAAATGCCACGTTTGGGCGCGCAAAATTTACAAATATCCCCTTTTCTAGAGAGAGAAAACAATCTAGTTTCAAGATATACGCTGTTGTCTTACATACTCTTCTATTGGTTAAATTTAATTGATAAGAGAAACGCAATTCGAAACAATTCTCATCTTCAACGAAGGTAGCGAAAAAGGTAGAAAGGAATTTCATTTTCCCCGCCCAACTTTTAATATTCTCCCCTCTCACGTTTTATACAGCGAAAAGAGTACCCAAACTGCTGAATGTAGAGCGGAGAAGGGTTTCTACAATTCAGCGCTGGTTGTTTACTGTCTCTTTTTTCAGTTGGTCATTCGCTTTTCTCACTTGTTTCCTTATTCATACGGGCACAGTTCTTAGAAGGTAAAAATCAGTGGCCAGTCACCATCCAGAGCGCCGGCGTCGGCTATCATGCCAAGGTATCACCCTTTTGGAGCCTGTCAATTGTTTAATTGTGTGGGTACGTTTTTTCTTTCTTACAGAGGAAGGTCGTCGATTTGGCTCATGCTCGTCAACGTCTGAAGCATTGTGTTCTGTCTTTGGATTTGAATGATGAACAAATGGATGAATTCGCAAGCGAGAGTGCTAGCAAAATAGGTCAGTTAGATTTTTTCGTCATTTCTTTTTATTGATTTTATTGTAGTGACATTTATAGGAGCTTTGCTTGACGAAGGCTTATTCTTGGACGTAAAAGCGCGCACAGTTTTGGGAAAGGAACTACGGAACTACGAATCTCAAGCAATTGTTCTCGAAGATAATGGACTTGAATTAGCTAGGGTGAGTTAATAACTCGGAATTAATGCATACTGCTCATGGTTAGCTTTTGCATCATTGTCGTGTTTTGCTTCCAAGTGAACTCGATATGGGTTGGGAGGGGGCAAGACCCAACTCATGTAGCCTGAGGCGTTGTCGGTCGTCTTATCCAGCTTTTCAATGAGATCCTATACATTTCACTAATGGGTCCGACTTCTTCCTCCTCCCCCTCCCTATTGAATAATGGATCATGTGGAGGGAGCTTAAGTTCATACCAATGATCTTCTGTTTGCTATTCACATTTTGGTCTTCTCTTCGACGAGGAAGATGCACTCCGTGAACCGAATTAGGGGCTGATGTTAAAGGCATACTTTACGAACCAGGACTCGTATCTCGTCATCCTCCGTCGGCTTGGGTTTTGTTCTCGACGCCTCGTTTCTTCCATAACCCTGTCCAC